GCAAGACAATGATAGTCTATTGTTCTATTGGTTTAGCCTTAGTTATATTAAATAACAACCGCAAAAAATCAAATGCTTGGTTTAATAACCTGAGAATCATTAGTTCTCACAACTTCATAACTCAAGTTGTTAAAATAGTAGTTTTCAAAACCTTGTATATAACATTTTTTATATTTAACAATTAATGTAAAGTAGATATTTTATAATTTGTTCTACTCAACTTGATCTCAGCGTCAAAGCATACATACAAATATACCTTAAAGATTTTCCTTTCATAATTTGTAACATATTCTAATACCATTTATAACAATTTAAAAATTACTGGCTTAATAAACAAAATTTTGAGATAGAAGAACTAGCCCAAAATATTTAAACTCAACTTGTTCAATAGTCTTCAACGTGTTGCATACAACATGTTCATGTACTTAATAAATTGATGTGGTATGAGATATCACACTTGGTGGTCATTGTCAAAATAAAAAACAAAGAGCAGAAAGAGTATTTGTTTCTTGTATAAGCACAACACATGCCATTACCAAGCACCTTTGTAGCTTCTTGGTTCTTTTTCACCAACTCGATCCGATCCTCAACTTCTGGGGGAGGGGGGGAGTTTCTTGTTAGAACTTCATACTTAAAGGGTATTTCCTAAACTAGAGAAAAGTGGCGGGGTTGTTCCTCTCTTCCTTTTTCTTGCTCACAAAAACAACGATTGCTTGGTCCTTGCTCTTGGAGCACACTGTCCTGGCATCTTCTTGTTGGGTTCCCTCCTATGTCAATAAAAAAATTTTGTGGGTCCCACTAGAGTTTTAAATCCTTGACATATATATTATATATATATTGTGTTGTCTTGTTTTTAAGGTTAAAAAGAGAAGGAGGCATCACTCACCAAGGGAGAGAGAAGAAATTTTTTTTCTCAAGCATTCAGCTCATTGAATTTGCGTCTATGAGTTTGTTCACCATTGGATCGAGCTTAAATTTGGACTGGGTATTCCCCATCCTTTGTTCTTCAATATGAATGGTGAGATCTTGTTTAGATATCGGAATCATTAGGTTTTGGGTAATTTACAGAAGTTGTTCTCTAGATTTCTTATGGAAATTTTTCCATATTCAGTTCACTCTTTTGCCATTTACGAGTTCGTTTACCGTTAGATCGAGCTCGAATTTGGAGTGGGTGTTCTTCACTTGTGGTTCTTGATTCGAAATGGTGAAGATTTGATTTGGTGGTCAGAATCATTGGGTTTAGACTGCTCGAACGCAATCTATTTTTAGGTTGCTCTGTCAAAAAACTAGTTTCATCATCTTTGCAGATCAGAAGGCCATTTGTGGTTTGGTTGAGCTGATTTTTGGATAGCACGTTGTGGATTTATTGTTCTTTGATTTGAACTTGAACTTGCATTTGAACAAGACGGAAGGTGTTTAGATTGTACGGACAGCAACTGCCCTTAGTGATGTCTTTCCATAACCTTATTATCTCTTGAATATTTTTAAAGTGTAATTGAGATTTTGGTTGTGGATTACTTGTAGCAAATTGTAATTGCTGTAAATATTAATATTTTGATAGTGGAGTTTTTCTCTTGGACCGAAGAGAGGTTTCGTGATTTTTATCCTTCACATTAAATGAGTTTTTCACGTTAAAATTATTGTGCCTTGTGTGATTGTTTGTGCATTTTAGATTATCCATAATTATTGGTTGTGAATTGCTCATAGACACTCATTACAACTCCCATCACTTCTTCACTCAACCCTTCCCAAAGTATCTCTGTCTTTTTCTCCCTCTCTAATTTTCTCTTTCCTTCTGATTTTTAGAGGTGTATGCTTAGTAGAGAGGACTTCAAACATTCTTTGGGCTTATCTGGTCCTCAAGATCTTACCATCTCTGGATTATCTTCTTATACGTCTATTAGTAGTTTGTTTGCATGGGGTTCTCGAATAGGCATCATGTTTGTTAGGGTGCCCAATTGCACACTAGGAGACGTAGAGCCCTCAATCGACTCTCTACTCTTGTTTCTCCCTCCCGCCCTCTCTATTTTTCTTTTTCTCAACTAGCAATTTTCACTTAACGATGAGGCAGGCCGCCACGTGCAACAAAGCGATTGGTTCACATTATCTTAAGCTAGAACCGACTCTTACCCCTTTTTAATAGCAATTTAGATTCTTCAACCAAAATACATAGGATATTTTGATGCAAGTAAATCCTCCTCTGTAGTGAATCAAATACGTTCGGATTTTATTATCAGAATTTTATGGTGTTACAACGTCAGTGTTGGTCTGATCTCCGTTAGGTTCAAGACGGTAGGATTCTTCTAAAGCATACATTTCAGATTATTAATCTTCTTTGATATTTGATAGTTGTAAATGGTAAAATTTGCGCTTTGTCAAGTGAGAGCGTGATACACCTTCACCTTCTAAATGTGGAAGGGAAAGGAACGTAAGTAATATTATCTGAATGAATTCTAATAATCCGCGGCCTTATATGTATGTCTCACGCACAATCGGTTGTAAGCTAAATGCATGGAAATACCTGCAAAACGATTTAAATATGGTGTATAGAAGTAAAAGCAAATAAATTGCGGAGAAGCAAAGCAAGGCGTCCACATGGCTGAGCTGTACAACACAGATGGACGTCAGTTTCAAAGATCATTATTCATAATCATCAGAATGCCATTTTCCTAATAAAACAAATTGCCATCTTACTAAGCATTTTTTAATTGCTTAAGTTGTCTCGATGAACTCCATCATACAAAACCCAATATATATCAATTAGTCGAAGAGAACCTTGAGTATGTTTGAAGGCAGAGGACCCACATGGGCTCGGAGGAATTTTGCTTTCTGAAATTAGAAATGCCGTTTAGTAACCCCACGTTGATGACTGATCCATTTCAATCCAATTTAATTCAATCTCTTTTGTGGAAGCGGGTTTTGTGCTGCGTAGCATTCTCAGCCATTAAATAATCAATTAGACCTGATTAGAAACGGACATAGGGGTTTCATCACTTTGGGCTTTCCTTCACTTTTTCAGGATATAGTTTGAGTTTGTGCTCAGTCGTGGCATATACGGTTGAATTTTGGAATCTTCTTTTCTTCTCATCTTCATTCAGGACTCAGAATAAACGCACAACTCGTGTCTGATTGAGGAGTAATGTGAGTCTCCAAGGGTTGATTTCGCTGTTTTCTACTTTGGAGCAGAGGTTCTTAGGCGGTTTCAGTTACATTCGTCCACTAAGGAAGGTTTGGCCCTCAAGCCAGAGTTTCCCTTATTATTCGGTGGATTCAGATCTGACTGAGACTTAGTGGCATTTTGAGATTTGGGTTCTAGTTTTTGCAGGACAGTTGTTTGGGAATCATTGTTTTGAAAATATATGTGGTGGACTTGGGATTTATAATGACGAAAGAGCATTGGTTTTGGGTGCATTACTCTTAGTTGTGAGGGTTTTATTTGGTACAAGTGAAGAGTTTTGTTGCCTGGGGTTTATATTTGCAAAAATGGCTTGCATGAAGTTGGGATCCAAACCTGATGCATTCCAGAGACAAGGGCAGGCCTGGTATGGGCCATTCTCTGTAAACTACTTTCTTCTAACGTATAAACTACAATTTTCTACACTTTCAGTTGCTTCTATAATTTTTTGCCAATGAATATGCGAATAGCAAAGTTTCTTTTCATATTCTTCTTTTTGTTTCTCTCACTCTCATGCGTGTTTGCTGAGTTTCATATCCATATTTCAATACCTGCATCTACTATGGTTTACGAGATCACTAGAAAATCCTGTTGATGGTTTGGATGAAAGACGTAATATTTCTGACTGAAACTTTTCTTTTAAGCTGAAAGTATGATGAGTTCTCAATTACTTGACATTGCCTGTCAATTTGAGTTTTCAGTTTGTTCTCTTCCTGGTTTTAATGTTAGTTTTTTCCCAATGATTGACGTCATTTTGCTTATTTGAGCTTTTGAAAATTTTAACATTACGTGGTATTATTGAGGCAACACTTGGCCAAATTCTGCAATTTCCCTTGCTTCCGTGCTTCAACGGCATGGTTGCAGGATTCTTCAGCTATTAGCTGATGGATATGCTAGCAGGTCATAAATATTTTACTTGTGTAGCGTTACTCACCGCTAATCTGTTCATTGGTGTCAATATTACAATTTTTATGCTTTGCATTGACTTTCTCAAAAAAAACTTATTACAAATTTTCAAAATACATGTTTGTAGTTACTTTTCATCCATGCACTAACCCATGTCAAATGCTTAACTCTAAAATAATATTTTCTTTTAGAGGGAAAGGTATAGAGGCTTATTATTTCTTGTGATTTCTATAGATTGTGATTTCATTTTGAACTGTAAGGCAACTAGTTTTGCCCAAGTTCAACAAGGAAAAGTTTTAAGGTATATACTATCTTAGAGAACAGATTGTTTACAATACTGTACAACTCACAGTAAAATTTTTGAGAATTCAACTGCTCATTCCAGGGTCTTAAGCATAAGTATTAAGTAAATGACTTGAAGATTCTAGGTGCAAGTGAATGATAACCTTTTGTTCCTTTTCTTCTTCTTTCTTTTACAATTTCAACATCATATTTCTATGGTTGAGAAGATGTAGAAAAAATTGAAAATGATGGTTTAGTCAACTGCATGGCTAAATTGTATGCCTTTTCTTTCTTTCTTTTTTTTTTTTTTTTGGGGGGGGGGGGGGGGGGCATTATTTTCATGAGTCAAAATCTATTTTTGTGTCATTTTCTCTTGGTTTTTTAAACATCCCATCCATAGTGTAACAACAATCTAAGCCATGTATACTTCTATTCTCTTTATCTTACCTCTTTGCATACATTTAAGTTGGTTGGATGGCCTTCATATCTCTTGCAAGACAGATATTGAAAGTTTTAAACTTGAATTCCATTAGTTGTTATATGGTGTGCAAGTTTACATCTTTGTGTGTTGATATCCACGGTTCAACATGTTAAATAAAATGTTACTAAATGTTAAAGTACAGAACACTAATGCCATATGCTTATATTTATGGCTAACATCTTTCAGAGGCATCCTGAAAGGTATTTCAAAACTGTGAAAACTTTTAGCCACAGCATAGGTCTCATCCTCTATTTGACTTGTAAAATCTTCATGATTTCACCTACAAATGTTTGTTTTCACATACTATAACCTAAAGATTTATGTTTGAATGTAATATAGGTTCTGCACAACTGGCTTGCCCAGTGATATTGTTGTTGAAGTTGGGGAAATGTCCTTGCACCTCCACAAGGTATAATTTTGCAAATTAATTTTACAAATTATATCTTTATTATTGTAATTAGAGCTCTATGCCTTCCAGTTGGCTGTATTTACCAGGAAAACAAGTTGCCTTAATTTCTGCACTAGATAATTTATTTTTATTTTTATTTTTATTATTTTTTTGAGTTTCGAATTCATTTTCTGTTTCAAAATTGAGTGCAACATGTTGTTTTACTATAAAGAAAATAATGCCCGAGATTGATGCAGATTTGATTTTTATGGTGCACGCTTGCAGAAAGCCAACCTTGTTGATTGTCCAACTACCTTGAATAGCAGGATATAAGGAGTATTTAATATAGCCCTACAAATTCAACCCTTACAGTTTGTAGATGGGGGCAGATATGAAGATGTAAATAATATTGTCATAAAAATAAAAGTACCTCAGTTATTCAACACTTTTTATTCCAAACATGCTCCTTACCGTTGATAAAATATCTTATACACTATTTTGATTAAATCTATACTTTGGTTAGACCTAAAATATGAGTTTCACTTTATGTCAACAACTTCTGAACATACGAGATCACTCAAACTCAATGCACATTCATTTGAAAATTTATATATACTTATTATTATAATGTTTTAATAAATTCAGGAAATGAGCAATTTGTATTTCTTTTTTCTTTTCATATTCCGAAATTATGAAATGGTTTTTCTACATCTCGTTTTAAGTTAGAGATTACTTGAATAATATGGGTTAGGTGTACACATAAATTCATACAATCATATCCCCATGTGTAAGAACCAAAATATATAGACCATGGATCCCACAATTCCAAGTGAGGTTTTCTACCCATTCATCTTGACCTTAGGCTGTTTCTGTATGGTCAGAGGCCCATTGTGGTTTTTTTAATTATCAGCACTACACTTTATTGAGATGTTTTGGAAAGTCTTTGAGAAATTTTTAAAAGAAACTCTATATAAATTTATTTAAAAAAAGTGTCCTTTTATTTTTCAAAATCCGATGTGTGGAGATGTTTATTTGTGAAACTTTCCTTGCCTGTTACATTTGACTGCTACTAATGTTTATGCAATGCAGTTTCCTTTACTTTCTAGAAGCGGGTTAATAGAAAGGCTGATTGCAGAAGCATCTGAAGAAGGAGAAGAGGGTTGCAGTATCAAACTCCCTGAGTTTCCTGGCGGAGCTAAAACATTTGAGCTTGTAGCCAAATTCTGCTATGGCATAAAACTTGAACTCACTGCCTCAAATTTTGTGTATCTACGGTGTGCTGCTCAGCATCTTGAAATGACAGAAGACTATGGGGACGGCAATCTGATTTCACAGACTGAAACCTTTCTCAAAGAGGTTGTCCTCCATAGTTGGAAAGACTCTATGAAGGTACTAGAAACCTGTGATGATATCCTCACTCGTGCTGAAGAACTCCAAATCACGAAGAGATGCATTGAGTCCTTAGCTGTGAAGGCAAGCACTGACCCAAATGTATTTGGTTGGCCTGCCATTGAGCATGGGGGCCCAATGCAGAGTCCTGATGGTAGTGTATTATGGAATGGCATAAGCACAGGGGCCAGGCCAAAAAACTCAAACTCAGATTGGTGGTATGAAGATGTTTCGAATTTGAGCTTGCCCCTATACAAGAGAGTGGTCTCTGCTATGGAATCTTGTGGTATCAAAGGGGAGATTGTTGCCGGATCTCTTGCTTTCTATGCTAAGAAGTATCTGCCTGGACTGAGTAGGCGTCAAGGGACAAGAGATTCTAGCAGTCATCTGGCACCACCAATGCCATCATCAGAAGAACAGAAGCTTTTCCTGGAAGAAATAGATCATTTACTTCCTATGCAGAAGGGCTTGGTCTCAACCAAATTTCTCTTCGGGCTACTTCGGACAGCCATGATTCTTCGAGCAAGCCCCTCTTGTATATCCAACTTAGAAAGAAGAGTAGGGATGCAGCTTGATGAGGCCACTTTGGAAGATCTTTTGATGCCCAGTTTCTCTTATTCATTGGAGACTCTTTACAATGTGGACTGTGTTGAGCGAATTCTTGGGAACTTCCTGGCAATGGATCAGGTGTCTGGGGGGGCTCTCCTTCTTCATTTAATGATGGGCAGTTGATGGGTTCTCCTTCTTTGACGCCAATCACAATGGTAGCCCAGCTGATTGATGGGTACCTTGCGGAGGTTGCCCCTGATGTTAATCTGAAGCTTCTCAAATTTCATTCTCTGGCTGCAGCTGTTCCTGAATATGCCAGGCCCTTGGATGATGGCCTTTATCGAGCAATTGACATTTATCTGAAGGTAACAACATTTTCTTTTTCTTCCCAGTGATGAGGAAATCTTTTACTCCCAAGAGTGCTGTTTTTCCTTTTGAGTCATGAACTTAAATTTTCAAACTTTAAAGCCTTACCAGGAAATTAGATTTAGAATAGCTTTACTGCCTTGTGGATCTGACAAAAATATTGTAAAAATGATAATATGTTTGTTTAATTAAGCTGCTATTTTTGGGTGAGTTCAACTAATTTTCTAACCAAATCTAGAGGTCAATAGTCTGTATTCCCAACTAATCCCATAGTTGAGTCAGTTATTTGTATTTTACATTTTCATTTTGCTCTATTGAAAGTAACAAGCTAACTTAAACAATATCTTGCTAAATTAATTTTGGTATTCCTTGTTTTTTACCATTACCCTCAATGTACTTAGTACCACTTTTTCAAACCGGAGTGCTTATAGGTCCTCCTTGAATGTTGACATATTTTCTCTTATTTTATCCTCAAGATGTGCTACATTCAATTTTCATGAATTTGATCATTTTTAACTGTCTTTCATGGTTTATTCTATATTCAGAATAACATCCTCATTTTTTTTTCCAATCAATTGATCAACATTCCACATCACAAATTATGTTGTTTTTATACAATCTTGTAAACTTTCTTTTTTGTGTGTGTTTGGTTTCAAGTAAGCCATGGTTTATTTGAACTTGCAAGTTTTTCATAAAATAATGTCATTAGTTTTTGACTTCGACACTTTGGAGATTTACCTCTCAGAAAAATTGTAAACAAATCCAAAAGCTAATTATTTATGTTGTCAAAGACTCCAAAAAAGTAAAAATAAGCTGCAGTTTTTTGGATATCAAACATCCGGCTCATGATTTTCAACATCTGATTTTCCTGTGTATCCCAATACATGAAAAATGCAACCTCCTGACCTGCTTCACTTAAGGCTGATTCACCAGTTTTAACTTGGTATATCAACCTTATTTTTGTTTCCTATTCGGCAGTCACACCCATGGTTGGCAGAGTCAGATAGAGAACAACTCTGTAGGCTGATGGACTGCCAGAAGCTCTCCTTGGAAGCCTGCACCCATGCTGCACAAAATGAGAGGTTGCCCATTCGAATAATAGTGCAGGTCCTCTTCTTTGAGCAGCTCCAACTTAGGACTTCAATTGCAGGCTACTTCCTGGTCTCAGACAATATTGACGGTTCAAGGCGATTACCAAGTGGAATGGTGAGTTGTACTGAGGGAGGTTGGGGTACAGCTGTGACGGAGAATCAGGTTTTAAAGGTGGGGATGGATAGCATGAAGATGCGCGTTCATGAGCTGGAGAAGGAGTGCTCAAACATGAGGCAAGAGATTGAGAAGTTAGGTCAAGTAAAAGGTAGCTCTAGTGCTTGGCTGCGGGGAAGTGTGTCCAAGAAGCTGGGCTTCAAGATGAGGTCTCAAATATGCAGTGCTCAGGAGGCCTCTGTTAGCAAGCCAAGTAAAGGAGGGGAAAGACTAGCAAGTCCAAAGACATGAAGGAAAAAAAGAATAAAAACTTTTCCTTAAATGAGTAATAACACTTGCATTTTCTTCTTTCTTTAAAGCAAATTTTGTTTTTCCTTTTCCCATTATTTGTATCTGTTCTTTTCAGTTTAGTAAACTGAATTCCAATTGTATGTGTCATATTTGTTCAATGATTTTTTCATCATGTGAAAGGGTAACGAAGGTGGACTAGGCAGTCAGATTCTCTCTTTTCCTCGTTTTTATTGGAAACTATGGGAGTTGGTTCCTTACCGCTATTTTACCATATAACAATGGCATTAGTGATGAAGGTCATGTTTCTATAGAAATTTGCAATACAAACATATTTTGTGATACATTCCTCTCCTATTGTTCATCCAAACAGGGATGGAAACTATTGTCAAATAGAAATTCTCTGTTCCACAAGGTTTCTAAAGGGAATACTTTGACTACTGTGGTTTCTAAGTTGCTAAACTACTGGGAAAAAAAAAAAAGAAAAGAAAAGAAAGTCTCTGGCTGTATGGGTAATTGCAAAAGGTATTCGCGAGACTCAACTAAAACAGTATTGTTGCCTAAACCGGATAATTGTATTTTTGGCAGGAGTTTCAGAAAATGCTTTGTGGAAAAGATATCAAGTGGAGGCTGGAAAGTACGTTGACAAATTAATCTGGCATCGTTCTAATGGTTGATGGGGTGCATTAAACCAAGTCAGGATATTATATAGCCCTCCAAGGGATAGCCGATGACCTCCGTTCCTGACGAGAACAGTTCCAATGGCTTGAAAGATCTTCTCAAGGAAATCCTTGGTGATCCACTTTGTGAGTTAGGCTTGTTATTGGGTTAGATTTACACCGTATCGTATAAGGGTGTTAATATGTTAGATTTTAGTATAATTTTGATTTAAATTTGATCCAAATATTAAAATTATAATTTTATTAAAATATTCAATAGGTCAAGTTTGATTATAAATATGTATAATTTAATCTATTAAAAATTCAAATATAAATTTTAATAATATTTTTTAATTAGATTCATAATCTATATATATTATTAATAAATTCAAACTTATACAAATTAAATTAAGAAAATCAGTTTGATGAAATGGAGCTGAAAGACTTAAATGTAAAAGAACATCATTTTCTTATTAGATTAAATTTCTTATTAAATTTTGAATTATCCATTGGATTCAGATATAATTTAATAGATACAAATTCTATAAATTTCAAATCAAATTCAGATTTAGTGTTGTTTAATTAATCTAAATCTGACTCAATATAACCATAGAATCATAATAGATCTAAATTCGAATCTAATAGTCACATGTTATATCTAGATCTGATTAGAAATTTTATACAATATGTACTTGGTGCTACCATATTCAAATATGTATAAAATTCAATACTCGAAACAATAGTTTGAATCAAAATTCTTGAATCATCATACCTTTTATTATTTGGAAAACATTCCAATACCTAGCCCAAAAGGATGGTTTTGAAACCTTGTCCACATATTCCAATTGTTATTGGCCATGTGGATAGGTTAGATCATATGGATGTTGGCATAATAGGTTAGATCATATGGATGTTGGCATAAATGTCGACATAAAATTACGATGAGTCCTCCAAATTTGACTAAATTTGAAATGGACCTTGGTTTAACCTGAAAGGTTGCCTTCCTCCATTAGCTCAATGCTAAAAATTTTCAATTTGAAGTCATTAATTTAACCCTAGCCAACCAATCAACACAGTACTATCATTATTCTTCTTCACCAATGATCGACGTCCCAATACATTTGTTGAAACCCTAAGCTGAATCCTAGGCCTGCCATTCTTATTCTCTAGTGATCGACGCCCTCGCTCTATGCCGTTTCCTAAAACCCTAAGCCAAACCCTAGCCTATAGTTCTTCTTCCCCATTGATCGATGAAGCATGTCTCCTTCCTCATCGATCATTGGCTAATATGCTTGACCTATTAATGAAGCCTACCTAAGATAATTATTCGTCACTTGTGATAGTCGATTGTTCTGCTTTCGATTGCTACTCTTGCTACTCAACCTAGCAATCTTTGGTTGCTCATCATTCTTTTTGCAATTGTCAACCTGAAGACATGAAATTGTGGTCATTACATGTGAGCTATCTCTATCCCTCCCATCCCTTTTTTTATGAGTAAAGTTAGTGTTTATTGATACAAACACACACATATGCTTTGTTCAATGGTACATGAAAATTTTCGCAAGCTTTTGAAGCAATTGACAGAGAACGTGAGCAATAGTTATAAGTTGGGGAATGGCAATTAATTGTTAAGATTGTTTGTACATTCAGAACTCCTCACCCTATTTCAAGACTTCACCTCTGTTTCAGTGAAGGAAGTTGTGAAGATAAAAGCCCAATAAATTATGAGGGCATTATTTTTTAGTTGGTGGAAAAACTAAAAAATTAATCTTGGAATTTTGGTTTATATTCGGATGGCTTTTTGGACTTCCATTGTAAGAAAGTTTTTTCATAGTTTCATTAGCATCAAAAATGGTGTTCTCTAGAATTTAGTTTTTTTTTTTTTTTGGTGCAAAGTTCCAAGAAAGGTGCTTTTTGCAAAGTACTTGAAAATTAGTTTTCTTTCTAACTTTCTTATATTCAAATTACTTCAAAAACACTAATGAAATAAGTATTTTCTTCTATACCCATCTAAAATTGCTAGCGTATGTAGGAATCATGGTATTAGTTTCCACATTTCCACTGAAAGGCCTTCATACATAACCTTGATTGACAAGTCCACTTAATTCAATTTTCTAGCTCATTTTAGGTAGATTTTGGGCTATATCTCTATTCCTAAGTTGTTAATAATTTCTTTTGGTTCCTAATGTTTTGTTTTCTTGTTTATTATGGCTATTCTAGTTTATCATTATTAAAGAACTATAAGAACCCTAATATGTGTGAATGAGTCATGTTTTATACACTGCCCTTTGAATTTGTATTTATAATACTAAGAGATAAACAAGTAAAGAAAGAAAATAAATGATAATATTTCTAGTAATATATTTTGATCGTATATTCATAATCTATCCATATATATATATATATATATATATATGTTTCTACAGTTCCCCTCAATTTGGAGCGTATAAGTTACATGTACCAAACTTGTTGCATATATGTGTAATTTGAGATCTCTTCAGTGATTTAGTGAATACATCTGTTTACTGATTATTAGAATTCACAAAACTAGAAGTAATGCATTCAAACTGAATTTTTTTCTCTGATGAAGTGATAGTCCATTTCTATGTGTTTGGTCTTTTCATCAAACACTGGATTAAAGGTAATATGTAAGATAGCTTAATTATTATAGATTAATTGCATTTACTTAATATCTCTAAATTTCAATTCTTAGAGTACTTGTTTAACCATATAAGTTCACATGTTGCTAATGCTATTGTGCAATTATTTTACTTATGCACTTGACCTAACAATCACATCATGTTTCTTATTCTTCCAAGAAATCAAGTTGTCTCCAAATATTATGCAGTAACATGAAGTTGATCGCTTATCTAAGGGCAATCTAGCCCAATTTGTGTTTGAGTAGCTAATAATCTGAAAATGACCTTTGTCTTATCCAGTGTCCCTTTGATATATCTAAGTATTTGGATTGTAACATTTCACTAACTATCACAAGGAGATTGTAGAAATTGACTAACTATATTTACAGCAAAGGAAATGTTTGGTCGAATGATGGTTGCTAGTCTCAAGGTTTTATCTTGATTTTGTTATTGATAAAAAAAATAAAATTGTTACATGTATACATTTATAGTGAACAATATGGACAAATTATAATATTAAATTTATTATTTAGCTACATATACTACATGTGCCAGAATGTGAAACTGTCAAATTAGATATGTGTGTAGTAAATTGATTATATCTTAATATACAAAAATTAAAAAATAATAAAGTTAATTTTATATGAAACTAGACTCAAATAACTTTATTTTAATATATAATAACTTTATTCAAATAACTTTATTTATATACTATTTTAGATTAAAACAGTTTATTATATCAATCTCATATATAATTTTTTGAAAAAGTCATTTTTAAAATCTGTACGATATAAGTTTTAAATAGTAAAATATAACTTATGATATAAAAAAAATTCTGAATTAAATTTATTGTAAAATAGACGTGCTGAGCTTTAAATGCATATATTATATACACATTTTACACTTATAAATTGATAGATATAATTTTCAAAATGAATCATTCTACTGAGTCATATTATTAGTAAACAAAATGAGTATACCATAATATTTTTATTATATCTCAAAATATGAAAGTCAAATTTGTACAAATTTAATTTTAATGAAAGTTGACATTATAAGCTTTTCAAAAGTATATAATTTGTTATTTTTAACGATAAATTCAAATTTCTAGACAATTTTGTACTTGACCAATAACTTTTGTCAAAAGCAATTTTACAATCTAGCATGTCGTTAAATATTTGATTAATTCTCTCAAACGATACATGATAATTTAATGATTCTTTTTGTATTTGAAAATAGACTCATTGAAAATTGTTTAATATGTTTTAAAGAATTTTTGAACATTGAAAGCCATTTTATTTGAATTTTAAAAATGGGCCTATGAGCTATTGCCGTTGACAAATAATTTTGTCTTTCAAAATTGCCAACATCTTTCCTACGTCTCTTTGGTATTTTTGTCTATAAAAAAACACATAGGTTGAAGGAGAAGGACATAAGAACAAACTCTCAAAACTTCCTCAATCTCTCACTAAAATTTTTTGTGCTACATTTTTATTATTAGATTAAAGAGTACATAGAATAAATTATTTTATTCTTGATAGTATTTCTTTGAAGTGAGATTATTTTTGAACATGAGTGGTACTATTTAAGAAGAATTGCTACATTTCTACTCTATCTTTATTACCATTTGTATTGGTATTTAAATCTCACCTGAATCAAAGATTTTGTAATCGGAATTTCTTATCTCCGTCAAGTACAAGCGATT